AAAGGAGCTTTCAAAACAAAAAAAGAGATCTTAGAAATTAGAAAAAAAAAAAGAAATTAGAAGTATACTAGCAAAGATGGAAAACTCAATATATGATTGAAAGATGAAGTTCATGGAAATATCTTAAAAGGTGGGAGAAAACTGAAAGATTTGGATATTGTAGTTCAAGAAACTTCAGAGTTGGATATTGTTATAGTGGTTTGAACAGTGGCCCCCAAACAAGTGAATAATATCTTATATGGCTGCAGATGTGATTCAGTTGAGGAATTTGAGATGAGGAGGTTATCTGGGATTATCTGGGTGGACTCTAGATGCTAATAAACATGTCCTTATAAGAGAGGGGCAGTGGGAGACTGGACACAGATGGAAGAGCAGGCAATGTGACCACAGAGGCAGAGACTGGGCTGAAGCAGCCATTAGAAGCCAAAGCAGCAAGGAACAGACTCCCCCCGCACAGAGCCTCCTGAGCGATGCAGCCTGGCTGACATCTTGTTTTCTGCCTTCTGGCCTCCAGAACTGTGAGCAAGTAAACTTCTACTGTTTAGAGTCACCCAGTTTGCAGCAATTTGTCATAGCAGCCTTAGAAATATAATATAGGAATTATAAGGAAGGATAAGACAAATTGAGAATTGGTCCAAGAGTTCCAATCTCTGAACAACAGGAGTTTTAAAAACAGAGAAAAAAGAAGGCCATGGGGAAGAAAATATCAACAAAACTACTACAGAAATTTTCCAGAATGAAAGAACCCAACAACATGAGTAAAAATAAAAAGACCAAGCCTGGGGTACTGCAACATAAAAAGTTCAAAACACCAGGGATAAGTTCAATTCAGTCACTCAGTTGTGTCTGACTCTTTGCGACCCCATGGACTGCAGCACACCAGGCCTCCCTGTCCACCACCAACTCCCAGAGTTTACTCAAACTCATGTCCGTTGAGTCGGTGATGCCATCCAACCATCTCATCCTCTGTCCTCCCCTTCTCCTCCCACCTTCAATCTTTCCCAGCATTTGGGTCTTTTCAAATGAGTCAGTTCTTCACATCAGGTGGCCAAAGTATTGAAGCTTCAGCTTCAGCATCAGTTTTTCCAATGAATATTCAGGACTGATTTCCATTAGGATGGACTGGTTGGATCTCCTTGCAGTCCAAGGAACTCTCAAGAGTCTTCTCCAACACCAAAGCTCAAGAGCATCAATTCTTTGGCGCTCAGCTTCACAGTCCAACTCTCACATCCATACACGACCACTGGAAAACCACAGCCTTGACCAGACGGACCTTTGTTGGTGATGGTTTTTGTGGTAATGTCTCTGCTTTTTAATATGCTGTCCAGGTTGGTCATAACTTTTCTTCCAAGGAGTAAGCATCTTTTCATTTCATGGATGCAGTCACCATCTGCAGTGATTTTGAAGCCCAGGGAAGTAAATCTGTCACTGTTTCCCCATCTATTTGCCATGAAGTGATAGGACCTGATGCCATGATCTTAGTTTTCTGAATGGTGAGCTTTAAGCCAACTTTTTCACTCTCCTTTTTCACTTTCATCAAGAGGCTCTTTAGTTCTTTGCTATCTGCCATAAGGGTGGTGTCATCTGCATATCTGATAAAGGGAGATCCAATACATTTCCAAGGAGGGAAGAAACTGGCCACATAAAGAGAGTCAGGAATTAGAGTGGCTTGACTGTCTCAATAGCAATAGAGGACAATGAAAGGCAACAGTTGAGTGTCATGAATCTCCAAGGGAAAATTATTTTGTTTAATCCTTTAACAAATCAAATAGCAAATATTGATTGAGTGCCTGCTATGTGTCAGGTCCTAAGCTGGCCACTGAGGAAAGAGCAGTTAAGACAATACAGAACAAAACATTAATGTCCTTAACCAGGGAACTTATACTTGAGTGTAGAAAGAATATCACACACACACAAAAAAACAAATTAATTATGTGTGTCAGGTAGTAGTGAAAAGAGAAAAGCAGGAAAATGAAGCAGAATCAGTGGCTAGAGGTGCTAGGGTGCTGCTTTATTCAGATGGAACAGGAAGACCGCTGGGACATAAGTCAGAGTCCTGGTAGAAGGCAGCTGCTCCAACAGGGTAACTAAGAGTTTTGATGGGGGGCACAGGGTAGGGAAACCAGTCAGGGACAGTGAGACCCCTGGGACCAGCCACAGGCCTAAGAAGCAGGGGAGGAAGTAGGTTCTGGGACCTAGAAAGGAGCTGTGGCCTCTAGGGAGAGAGTTTTGTGTCCTTTTGACTGGCTGAGGGACGGCCAGACAGTTGCTGAGACATTATTTCTGAGTGTCTCTGTGAAAGTGTAGAGAGATTATCCCACTGTGGAGAGAGGAGGTCCCAGGGTTCAATCCCAGGACCTCCTCTCTCTACACTCACTTCCCAGATAAGCCTGTGATTTAGAAATGTGAGGTTAATGCCAAAAAATAGCAAGAGGTGCTAAAAACAGTTCCATCTGGGGAGTGGGAAAGGAGTGAGGAGGGGGTGTTGTTTTTATAACCTGTGGGGAATTTGTTGATTCTTTAAATTATGTGCCTATACAACTTATATAAAAATAGATGTTACATTTTAAAAATAAAAGTACTGGTAATACATACTTGCACATAGTTTTAAAAACAGTCAAACAGCACAGAAGGGAATCAAATGAAAAACACATTCCTCTCCGCTTTATCTCTCAGCTACTACCCCTTTCTGCAGAAATGCTCTCTCCACAGATAAGAGATACAGATACAGATGTACAAGAGATGGAACATAATAGACTCAAACTGCACACTCTCCTGATCTTCAGCTTGCTATGTTTATTTCATGGACCTGAAGTATCTTTCCACTTCAGCACATATACATCTATACCTTTCTTTTTAAATGACTGCATGGTCTCCCACTGTAGCAATGGATTGTAGTTCACTTAATCAGTCTCATATTTAAAGACATTTAGGCTGCTACCAAATCACAAATAAAGCTGCAGCGAACACCCTCAAACACAGGCCTTTGAACACTTGTACCAGCACGTCCATTGGGTAATTTCCTAGCACAGAAATCACTGAGTTTAAGGGCGTGCTCGGATATTTTACAGATACACCCAAACCTTTCCCAAAGGTTGTGCCAACCTGTATTCCCGTTGTGTCGATACTAGGTATTTTCCCCTGACTCAGGTCAGTTTAAAACAAAAATAGCCTTTTATCCTTTTAATCTACATTTCTAAAAGTTATGATTGATTATTAGCATCAGGATTATGTTATCATTTTATGAAGTGAATTAGAATTGTACCGTTATCCATATTTTTCTGTTCTAGAATCTTCTGAGAATTATCTGTTCCTTAAATATTCACAAGAATTTTTCCATTAAATCTTCTGAACTTGAAATCTTTATGAAAAATAGTTCTTTAATAGTGTTCTCAATTTCTTCTTTGTCTAATCCATTAAAGGTTACTATTTCTTAAATGCATTTTTAAAAATTATTATTTGTCTCAGAAAATCATCCATTTCACATAGGTTTTTAGAATTATCAACCTATAATTGAGCACACACTCACTCATGATTTCAATACTTTTTGTTGTTGTTCGATTTACAAGAGTCTTGTCTGTTTCCTTGTTGTTGTTTTTTTTCCCTCTAACCATTTTCTGCATTTATTATTCTTTCTGCTGTCCTGTTTCCTAAAAACATTTATTCCTATGTAGGTTTTCATTACTTTTAGTTTCCTTAGAGCTAGATCCTCTCTGTTTGGTTAACTTTTTTCTTTGGAAATTGACTTTTTAAAATTTTCATCCCATTTTAAATAATTATAGCATCATTCATTCATTTCAAAACTTTCATCCCATTTTAAATAATTATAGCATCTAATACTATGAATTTAGCTTAGAGTTTGGCTTTAGTCATATTCCAGTCCATGGGGTCACTAAGAGTTGGACACAACTGAGCGACTTCACTTTCACTTTCATGCATTGGAGAAGGAAATGGCAACCCACTCCAGTGTTCTTACCTGGAGAATCCCAGGGACAGGGGAGCCTGATGGGCTGCTGTCTATGGGGTTGCACAGAATCAGACACGACTGAAGCGACTTAGCAGCAGCAGCAGCATATTCCAGGAGTTTTTAAAATATACATATATATTGCTATTGTTTTTATTTTCTAAATAGCATGTCATTATATATATATTTCTTTGACTAAGAATTTAAATTTTTCGTCTCAACTGAGAAACAGGATTCATACTTTCATTATTAATTTCTACTAAGTGGACAGAGAATTCAGTCCACACAAGATTTTACTGGAGTTGGGTTTTTTGTATGTGGCTTAGTATTATGCCAGTTTTTTCATGGTGCCTTAAACATCTACAAAGGTAGTGTCTGTTTGTAGTAAGTCAAGTTCAATACATATTCATTTAACAGTAATATATTTCCAATAATACTAGGTGCTTTACAGATGTTTTCTCACTTAGTAAAACAATCATGTAAAATGAAAAACACTGTTTGAATCCACTTCTAGGAGGTACCTAGAGCAATCAAATACTTAGGGTCAGAAAGCAGAACAATGAATGCCAGGGGCTGGGGGGAGGGGGAATGCAGGGTCAGTATTTAATGGGGACAGAGTTTCCATTTGGACAGATGAAGTTCGGAAGATGGATGGTGATGATGGTTGCACAATAATGTGAATCGACTTGATGTCACTTAAATATGGTTAAAATGGTAAATTTGTGTTGTATGGATTTTACCACAATAAAAAAAATTGTTTTTGATCCTGTGATTTACTTCTCCCTATATGTAAGTAATGAAATGAGGTTCTGAGATCACAGCACTGATCAGTGGTAAAGTCAGGGTTCAAACAGAGTGAAGAAGATTTCAGAGCTTCCAGAATCTCTCTTTGTTACTCCCCTCTCTGGGGGAGAGCTTCAGAGAGTTGCTCCCCATTCCCCACATTCCCCAAACTAGGGAACAAGATGTGACAGTTTTCACCCAGATACTTCCAGCCCTTTAGTGAATAATTTGCATATTTCTCCTGTCTTCCCAGGCAGCAAGACAACCACCCAGAAACCCACCACCATGGCTGCCACCACTGCTACAGCTGGCCTTAGGAACTCAGAGAGTGGAAACAGTCCGTGGTCTTGGCTCGAGAGTACTGAAGCTATAGTCGGGTTGGCACTGGCCAGCGCGGCGCTCGTAACCACAATTGTGGGGCTGATTGTGTACTTTAGATGCAAGAGAAGCAAAAGTAAGTGATCCAGGACCTTCAAGCTCTCCCCAAGATTCCCAGCTAAGTATTTCTCAGAACCCTCCTGCATCAGAATGACCAGAGCTGCTCAGCAAAAATGCAAATTCCTTCTGGGCCTGAGGTCTGGGCCTGGGAATCTGCATTTTACCTCCTCATGTGGTTTTTTTTTTTTGTTAATACACATCTGTGGAATGGCCCTCCAGTCCCCCATGGCCATGAAGGGTAACTACAATTGTTCTGTTGCTTTTCTTTTTTTTTTCCATTTATTTTTATTAGTTGGAGGCTAATTACTTTACATCATTACAGTAGTTTTTGTCATACAATGAAATGAATTAGCCATGGATTTACATGTATTCCCCATCCCGGTCCCCCCTCCCACCTCCCTCTCCACCCGATCCCTCTGGAGTATAATGGTACCTCATTGTGGTTTTGATTTGCATTTCTCTGATAATCCTCATGTGGTATTTGTGTCAAGTTTGGGACTCCACTCAAGACCAGTCCCTCTCTACAAACCTGATAATTTCCAGTTCTTGTCTCCTGACTTAATCACTTCTCATCAGTCTCCCTTTTGGTTCACAAGGAGGGAGGTCCTGCCCTGGGAAACACAGAAGAGAGAGAAAGAAGGGACAGGAAGGTGGCTCCACTCAGCAAGTACTGGTTGGACACCGATTTTCCAGAGCCTGGCTGGTAACTGGAAATGCAAAAGTAAATAAAGCACAGGCCCTGCTCTCAAGGATCTAGGGGCCAGGAGGAAGAGGGGAGCAGTGGCCTCAAGGGCTAATGGCCTCGTGTGGAAAGAGCTGTGGTAGGTTTGGAGGAAGGAAGGGTAATCAAGGAAGATGTCCAAGAGGAAGTGCAAAACTATCAAAGAATGAAGACGAATTAGCCAGGTGGTGAGGGTGGCATAGAGGTCACTGTCTTTCCAAGGGAAGGAAGGCATTCTAGGGACTGTAGGTAGCTCAGGGCTGTGGAACAGCCAGGAGATGAGAAAAGACGACCTTGGAAATCACATCCCAGAGCCTCTGACCCCAGAAACAGTGTGAAGCAGCGAAGTGGCCACCTCAGCTTGGCCTTGCAGATACACAGTCTATGGTGGAGAGGCCAGGCTGGGGTCACTCTGAAATCGTTATTTTATTCTGCAGAGCAAAAACCATAGTGGTTGTGTCCTGAGACTAAGGATGAGGGTTTGAGATGAAGAAAAAAACATGATGTAGTCACTGAGAAAATGCAACATGGTATTTAATGATCAATTTAGATGAGAAGCCATAAATCTGTACAAGCATCATTGTATTTGATTGTGGTTTTTTTTCAGCAGTATTCAACTAAAACCGTTAGAAATGACTGATTAAGAGCTAATTCCCTGGTGGTCCAGTGGTTAGGACTCTGTGCTTTCACTGCCTAGGGCCTGGGTTCAGTCCCTGGTTGGGGGAGTAAGGTCCCCTAAGTTGTGCCATGGCCATGGACTGCAAGGAGATCCATCCTAAAGGAAATCAGTCCTGAATATTCATTGGAAGGACTGATGCTGAAGCTGAAACTCCCATACTTTGGCCACCTGATGCAAAGAGCTGACTCACTGGAAAAGGCCCTGATGCTGGGAAAGATTGAAGGCGGGAGGAGAAGGGGAGGACAGAGGATGAGATGGTTGGATGGCATCACCGATGCGATGGACATGAGTTTGAGTAAGCTCTGGGAGTTGGTGATGGACAGGGAAGCCTGATGTGCTGCAGTCCATGGGGTCACAGAGAGTCAGACACGACTGAACAACTGAACTGAACTGAAAAATCCTCCCCACAACTTCCCCTTATTTTAATACATCATCAGCTAGATTTCACCATAGGTCCCACATCTGCCTGTAGGGGGGTACCCTGACACTCCAAATAAAATCAAGGTTCTGTAACTGAATAAGAAGAAGGGAATGGATATGGGGCAAAGAAATAGCATCCTCTGCCTGAGGGCACAGCCAGGATTGGAGATGTCAGCAAGTGTGCCAGAAACACAGGGGGACCCAGGGGGTCAGGGAGCCCGTGAGAGGGCGCAGGTGGAGAGGAGGGGGCTCAGTGGGGGGCTTGGGTAACCTGAGGGAGAGCAGATCATCAGGACAAGAGTGCAGTGAGGTCACGCACAGGTACAGAGGGATGATGACTGAAGAGAGCTGGAAGGAAGGAAAGTTGAAGCATAAAAATGATACCAGTGTTTACTATGTCAGAGTTCTTAGTCCCAATGGAAAAAAAAAAGTCCAGGATGTGACTGAGTGGAACCGAGGTCACTGGAGTTGGGGAGGTGGATAAATCCAACCTGTTCAGAGGGTGACGGGGCACAGGGGGCAGGGAAGAACTGCTCTCCTGACTGATGGTGAGGACAAGGCGGGACAGGTGTGGGCAGCCTCAGGGTGGCGGCTCTGAGTCCTGAGCCCTTCCCAGGGAGCTTTCAGATGGGATGGGGCAGAGAAGGCGGGGAGGAGACAGGCCTCCGTGGATGGCACAGTGACACGCTGTTGGTCCCCCTACAGGTGCGCAGACTGAAGCCAGGACCCCAACCAGGTGAGCACTTGTCCTCCAGTATGGGGGGTGCGGTGGGACAGGGCTATTTTATGAGCAAGAAGTTTCCTCCTGAGAGCAGCACCAGGGAGCCTTTCACAGGCCTCCCCTCCTCGACCTCCATCCACATCCTCCCAAGTCCCCACAGGCCAGGGTCTGCACTTCCTGAGGCTCCCGATCCTTAGAAAGTCAGAGCAGTGGACCAGCACTTTCTCTCTCCCAGAACATCTCCCTTTGTCTGTCTCTGGCACCCGCCTTTCCTCCTTCCATCCCCAGGTCTCAGCCTTTCCCTCTGTTCATCCTGGTCTTTCTCCCCCTTGAACACCATCCTTCCAGAACACACCCGCCCCCTCCACGCTCTGTCCCCTTTCTTGCTCCTCGTCCAGTCTGTCCTCTGCCCTGTGACACGGGGCCTCCGGCTGCCCCGGCCTGTCTCTCCTCAGAGTGGCTCCCTCGCGGCCCCCAGCCTGGCTCCCTCTCCTCTGGCCCCGGCTCCTCTTCCTTTCCTGACACTCACCCTCCTCACCGCCCACCGCGTTCCCTTCTCATCCTCTCTGCCACGTCCAGGCTTTTCCTTCTCACAGCCCCTCCCTCCTTTCTCGCCTTCCTGACTCTTGACAGTGTCCTCCCGGGACCCCTCCCCAGATGGTGTCTCCTCGGGGACCAAGGCCTGAGCACCGCCTGGGGGACCTGAGAGAAGCTCCCTGGTTCTCGCGCTCCAGTTTGGACCCAGGCGCTGCCGCAGAGAGGACAGGCGCCCCCTCCTGCTTCTCCTCCTTGCGCCCCTCAATAAAGCTGCTTCTCTGCAAGAGTCCACCCCAGTCAGCTCTCAGGGATGGGGCTACACTGCAAACGGCCCCTCAACCCCATCCAGGCAGCCTCCTCCTGAGAGCCCCAAACCTCTGCCTTCATGTCCGAGTGTGACCAGGCAGGTCACAGAGCCCCCACTGAGAGAAGCGGCCCGAGGCAGGTGGTAGCTCTTTTCTGCCCAGATTCTGACACATCACTGCTCTCCTGTTCCCAAACAGGGAGTCCTCCCAAAACGCAGAAGAGAATTACCAGAACACCGGGAATAAAGGTGAGTCCTGCCGCCATCATCCCTGCTCTCACTTGGGTCTTCCTTCTTCTCCCCACACCCCCTCCCCACACAGGTGCCCTCAGCATCCTCCTCTCTCCCCTGCCTCACCCGCCCTCCCCTGAGACCCTGGTCCTGACCTAGAGATGACCTCACTGCTGGAGCCCCTGCCCATTTCTCTACCCTGGCTGCCTGGTCACCTGATCCTGGCACATGTTGATTTTTTCTAGGACAACATGTAGACCCCAAGCCAGATGCCAAGGTAAGCAGCTCAGATTAGGACCTGAAAGGATGAGAGGGAAGTCTGGAGAAGGGGCGTGGAAGAATAGAGGGACTGCGGTGTAGTCAGGGCATCAGCTGTGGGATCATGGCTCTGAGATGGGACTCCCCCCACTTCAACTGTCTCACTCCCTCCCCTTTCCCTTCTCCCCCAGGATGATGGTGGTGGCAGCGGAGGAGTCCTCTATGCCTCCCTCACCCTCTCTACGTTAAACTCACCAGCAACAGCAGTGCCTCCCTTGCCCCGTCCCCAAGAGGGCCCCCAGGAAGAGACCCTATACTCCGTCTTAAAGGCCTAAGCAGTGGGACGGAGTGGGGACCTCCTTCGAGTCAGCGGTGCACAGGGATCTCAGCTCCTCATAATCTCCCCGGCCAGACGCAGACAGCTCAGAGGCCGGCAGGTGTGGGGCCACCAAGGACCTGAGAGTCACACAGCCCCCACCCCGATTCCCTCTTCACTTCCCCAGCCTTTCACCACAAAAATAAAAGGACCTGTGCAATCTGCCTGAATGCATCTTCGGAGAAAGCTGACGTCACCTTCCAACTTCTGTCTTTCCGGAAGTTGATAAAATGAACCATGATAGATAGCTCACACCCAGATCCCTCCCCTGGTACTTCTGTTCAGTGACTGCCTCAGGCCAGAGACAAATAAATCCCCAAACACTGGTAATCAGTCTGGAACCCAAGGTCCGTCCCCCTAATCTAACCCTTCTACTTTCCTTAGGATAATAACTAGCATGTGTCGTGTTCGTGCTTTACGTGCGTGGCCTCATTTCAGCATCATCAGCCACTCTCTATGGCACTGGATGCACCATTTGAGACAGGAAAACAAGAACCAGAATGGTCACAGTGCTTTCCCCGAGGCCAAGTTACCAGTAAGTGGCTGAGGCAGGCTGTGAACCCAGACCTGCCCTCTCGACCTCCTTCTCCTAAGGCTCAGGTGTCATCACCTTCCCAGATCCGTACACTGACAGGTCTTTCACCAGAAGGCACCATGTGCCCAGTGACACGGAGAAGAGGAAGAAGCCAAAAAAGACCAAGTGGTTAGAGACAAACCAAACCAAGTAAACCAGTAACCTGGTTTATTAACATAAACTGCACAACTCTGACTTTAGCCAAGTAAGCTCACAGCCAATGAACAACCCCAACACTTATCAGCTTCTTGGGGATCCTGAGAGGCTCTTCACCCAGGAAGGAGTGACACAGCAGGAAGGAGGCACAAGTCCACAGCTATTCCTCACAGAAGGCCACAGCGAGCTCCCCTGTGTGTGGAGCTCTGTGCTGTGGCTCCTCCCTCTGCTCCAGCTCTTCTCCAACATCTTCCATGAGCTGGTCCACATCCAGGTCACTGGAGGCTCCATCATCAGAAGGGACACTTCCAGCATCCTGGGGTTCAGGCCCTTCTTCCCCCCCAACAAGACAGGCCCCACGAGCAGCTGGTGGGGTCAGGACTTCTGGCACTAGTCTAGCTTCTTTTTCTTCAGATAGGCTGCTTACTGGGGCTTTGCTTTGGGGAGCTTTAAATTTTTTCTTAGGGTCTAAATGGAAAAGTGACAAAACTGAGATTCTTATCGGGTCATCTGTCCTCACCTTGTATAAGTCCAATTCCTAAACCTTCTATTTCCAAAACAATCTCTGGGAAAAGATGACCTTTCTTTATAGAAAGAAAATGGGGTTTGGAATCAGAAAGACTTGGATCCATGGACCTTGAGAAAACTTTAAACCCTTTGAACCTCAGTCTCCTTATCTTTAAAATGGTAAATACCCAGTGACAGAGACACTGAAAGAACTAAAGGGACGGTGTGTAGAAGTATCTACCCAGCCGGCCCACAAAAACACCAATACATGTTACTTCTACCTCCTTACCATTCTTGTGTCCCTGTATGTCCCTGAATAAAATCAAATAATAACCATAAGATGTTTCTACAGTGTGTGTTGTGTTCTGTGATTTAGATGATGCCCTTTTGGCCAAACTTTTGTGTGTTTTTTATTTCATTTTTGTTTTTTCCCCAAAATAATGAAAAGCTGTGGAAGTTTTAAGGAACTATCAAAGGAGGAAACCTGCAGACGTGAGCCTCCCTCCCCACAGTCCCCAAGTCTGCATCTTACCCGGCTGCTCAGGACCTGAATTTCCATGCCCTTTTTTCCTTCCTATTATGGGCACAGGTGGAGGTGCAGGTTCGTTTAACAGAGGTCTCTTTGTTGTTCTCCTTTTCAGGGTCCCATCTTGTCCATCTGCTCCACCGACATCACTCCCAACCCCCAATCCTGAAGGACATTGGTTTATTTCTGAGTGACAGTGTGGCTAGGGTCCACAAACTCCAAACATTCAGTCTTTGCCCTGTGTCTTCTGCTCATTTTCAATCTAGTGAGTCCTTCTGGTTCCTTTCTTTTCCCCCAAATATTTCTTTTCTTTCCCCCTGGGTCTTCTTCTCTTTATAGTTCACCTCAAAACCTGCCTTCTCCAAGAAGTCATCCTTCTTGGCTAAGAATTTAAAATATTCATTCCACCTTTAACCTAAGATTTTGTAATTCAACTCACAGAAGTGAGAAGCTACAGATTCCCTGATCACATTAGCATGAGTCTTGCCCATTTTCTCAGGTTCTGGAGCCGAGAGGTCAGTAAGGCCCAGTCACCTGCAGATCCCTCGCACTTTCTGCTACTTCATTGCCTTAACAGGAACACGTCTCATTTCCAATTATCCTGCTTACCTCTTGCCTTGGGTTTTTTTGTTTGAATTTTGGCTGACTTGGAATTAGGCAAAGTTGGATCCTGAGAAAAATAAAATATAAATGAAGTCATATAATTGTGATTTAATAGAGTAGGATGCTACAGAAATGATGGGTGTACTTAAGGAAGTTCCAGATGCTAATTCTACCCAGTTTGATCTACAGAATCTATCTAACTTCAGTCAAAATCCCAGCAAGTTATTCTGTACCAGTATATGATACCATAATGATGGATACGTGTCACTACACATTTGTCCAAGTCCATAGAATATACACTACCAGGAGAAAATCCTAATGTAAACGATGGACTCTGCATGATTATGATATGTCAATGGACTGAATAGGTTCATCAACTGCAAACAAATGCACCACTCCGGTGGACGATGTTGATAACAGGGGAGACTATACACGTGTGGGGGCAGGAGGTACATGGAAACTCTCTGTACCTTCCTCTCAATTTTACTGCAAACCTAAGACTGCTCTTTAAAAGTCTTTAAAGATGAAAAATATCTATATTTCATATGCCTGAAAAGAGACTAAGGAAATAAAATAATGAATATCCTAAGTGTCCACACAGGGAAGAAAGTAAAGAGAGGCAAACTGCTATTCTGTAAAACTGCTCCAGTAAGAACCAAATAACTATAGTGGGAAATGAGATTATCATCAAAAAATAAGTTCCTAGAGATATGAGGTATTAGAATAACTGAGGACAGAGGCTCTTCTTCCCTGAAGAGTCCTAAGACAGAAAACCAGTCCATCAGGGCTACCCTGATGCAGGTAGAGGACAGCTCCTTAGAAAATACAAATCCATGCTAACCAGATGCCCTAAAGCAATCTCCTCAAAGGAATCCCCAAGATCAATCTTACTGTTTTATCTTGCTCCTCGTCTTCATCCTCCTCCAACTCTGGCTCTTTCTTTTCTTTCTCCAAGGAGGAATCTAAGCTGCTAGCCCCAAAGAGCAGTAAGTCTAGAACAGGAATAGGAAGGAAAGGTTAAATAATTTATCTAATAAAATAGGTGATGAGTTAGTGGAGCTAATCCCAGAAAATCAATCTTCCAACTCTGTCTTTCATATCCAATTCAAAATTTCTCCATAAAATCTGATGCCAGATTATCATGGTTCTACCCTCTTCCAAGTCCTTTCACTAGTCAACATGCACTCTCCCTCCCTCCTCCCTTTTTTCTCCATTCTTCTCACTACCCATGTGTCCATCCATCCATCCTAGACACTTGCTCAACAGCATTTATGTAAAGCCTCCTATTATAGAATCCAGAACTAGGTTGACGGCACTGGATATAAAATAAAAGCTTCAGCAGCTGCCCTCATGAAGGAATCCCTTCCATCCCTCTCTGGTCCTTAGCCTCCTACTTATCCTACCTTTTTCTTCCCCATTAACGGCAGGTCCACTGTATCGGCTCCAGAAACCAAACAAGTTAACCCGCTCCTGAGGGAACCAAGAAACAAAAGCATCATCCACTAGTCTCCCAGGGGCTAGTTTTGCCTCCTGTCTTCAAGGTTTCTAGTTATAGAGTTTGTATTCATACTGCACACCATTTTCACTTGAAACTTCACAGTTTATCTAAATTTTTGTAGAGCTTAACTACTATAGCATGTTATAACATTATACAATATTATTATAACTTCTTCTTCCAGTTTGTTTATAATTCAGTTAATAGCTGGGAAGAGGAAATTAACTGTTTGTTATCCTGCACCCCCTACCCAAAGGCAGGATTTGCGGGTAAAAACTAACCCCACAGAATAAGGTACGTACACCTGAGACCTGAAGTTAAATGGGTGGTGGGATTCCCTCTACCACAAACAGCCTCTGTTCGGACAGAGAAAAAAATTCCATTTGTCCAAGGGTAGAGAAAAGAGTTTAAAGAGTCAAGGGAACTTGGCCTGGGAAGAAAAGACTAGTTCTAGAACTAAGACTGTGTAAGAGGGAAGGAGAGCCAATTTTCTACAGGAGAGACTGTATGACTTGTTTTGCGTCCCAAGTCCCAAAGAGAAGGAGGTATGTGATCTAAACTTTCCCACCTGAATACTGATCTGCTCTGCCTTTTGAGCCATCATCACGGCTAACCCCAGTTTCTGGATGCAGTCCTTATTCTTGCACTTTCTCTGAAATAAAAGAAGATTAGAGTCAGTGATAAACATTAGGGAAGTGACTCCAACCTACTGTTACTCACCAGACATTATCTTTACATTTATTTCTACTTCCTGGTATTGATATGATACTCCTATTCTTAATCTTTTGAGCTCAGAAACACAACCCTCCCTTGTACCAAAACAAACCTTTCATCAATTTCTAGCAATATTTTCAACCAACATTTTGGCATCCTCTCCAAAGTAAAGCCCATGGAAATTTGTAAAGGCAAAATTAAAGAAGTTCAGATGACTGCACTTTTAAGCTTTTCACAAGTTTCTTTATATCCAGCTGCTTGACTTAGTACTCATGGCCTGATTATCTAACGTCCCTGAGCTCCTAGGCATTATTGGTAAGGCCCAAAGTGATTATGGGCTTCCCTGGTAGCTCAGCTGGTAAAGAATCTGCCTCAGTGCAGGAGACCCTGGTTCAATTCCGGAGTCAGAAAGAGCCCCTGGAGAAGGGATAGGCAACACACTCCAGTATGCTTGGGCTTCCCTGGTGGCTCAGATTATAAAGAATCTGCCTGTAATGCGGGAGGCCTGGATTCAATTCCTGGAGGCCTGGGTTCAATTCCTGCGCTAGGAAGATCCCCTAGAGAAGGGAATGGCTACCCACTCTAGTATTCTCGCCTGGAGAATTCCAGGAGGAAATATCATTTAGTTACTTCAGTGGTTCTCAACCAGGGGAGACTTTTCTCCCAGAAGACATTTGACAATGTCTAGAAATTTTTTGGTTGTCACAACTAGGGCGAGGGCTACTACTGGCTAGATGCCATTAGAGCCCATGGATGCTGCTAAATATCCTACAACACCTAGGACAGCCCCTCATAATAGAAAATTATCTGACCCAAAATGTCAATAGTGTTGAGACTGAGAAACCCTGAGTTAATCTGTGCCTTCATTTCTATCACACTTGCTTGGGCTAACCTGCAGAAAACCATGGTCTTCATGAAGGCCCTCTATCTGCAGACAGGGAATGAAAATAAGAAAAATCATTTTCCTGTTGCAATCATGGTAGAAAGAAGTGTTCCTCATGAATAACCTCACCCCGGCATACTTGGTCAGACATGCGACTTCCTCCTGGCATAGCTTCCTCCGGGAAAAATCACATTTAATAAAGGGAAGATTTTGCTTCTCAAGTTCCCTATATCACAACTGATCCCTGGAGGTTGCTTACCAGTCCATTTAGCTCCAGGGACAGCTCCTGGAAGTTCTTTAGCATGTTGACTGGGATCCAAGCACGAGAGACTGTTTCTCCAAAAAATGTCACATGGTACTTGGACTGTAATAAAAGATAGCTTTGTTATAGCCTCTTGTCCTTCTTCTTGCTTTGACCTACTAGCCAGGAAAAGGCAGAAGAGCTGAGAATTCACAAGAAAGGAAGTGCTGGGCCTTGTCTGTTCCTTTAAGCCTGACCCATCTATCCCACCTCATTCCATTGTTCTTCCATGCTGACCTCAGATGTCCTAACCAAAGCCTATTTGTCAAAATCACAAATTTCCTAGTAATTAATAAATATTTAATTAGATATTTGTTTGTTTATATATCCATTTGTCACTCTAGCTAAGTATCTGTTTCTGCTTGTGTCTGCTGGCTGTGTCTGTATTTCTAACTCTGTACATCTGTTAGGATGGATTTATTCATTACTTTGCCCTGAGCACTGACCCACCCTGAACCAGGAAAACTCACCGGCAGGGAATCAAGATGAGAAGCAAAGAGAAAATATTCTCCCAGGTCAGGATCAGGTTCTACCATGCCTGGCCACCTGGAGAAGATGGGTGTAGGGGATGGAAGAGAAGGGGTTAGATGAACAGAACACAAACTCATCAATATACATGTACATAAAAGGGCACTGGGCTTCCCTTGTGTCTCACATGGTAAAGAATCCACCTGCAATGCTAAAGACCTGGGTTCGATCCCTGGGTTGGGAAGATCCCCAGGAGGAGGGTATGGCAACCTACACTAGTATTCTTGCCTGGAGAATCCCATGGACAGAGGAGTCTGGTGGGCTACAGTCCACAGGGTTGCAAAGAGTCAGGACACAACTGAAGTGACTTAGCACGTAAAACAGCAGTAGGTTTTGCAAATAAAGGATCCCCAAAATAGACCCCTCTGTCATCCCTCCACAGTGGTCACTACCAAATGACTGAGGTAACTTCCATCAATGTACAAAGAAGCTCAGAATCTTCCTACTAAAGAATATCTTATCTTCTAGACCTCCTGGCAACCCTGAGAACAAAAATCTTCTGACTTGGGATATCTCCAAAGAAGAAACTATTCCACCCTTCCCTTTTTTCTATTTACTTTGTATATCTCTCCTTTCCTAATGTCTAAAAAAATTTCTTAGAGCCACTCATCTCTTTCTACCCATTCAGGGTAGAACTGGCTGACCCTTTTTCCCAGGGAGATACCATGTCCACCATGAAATCTCTAGAAATCACTCTTTCAAAGCCTCCAAGATTAGTACTTTATATTCTCCCTCACCCATCTCTTTCTAGGCAGGTAACATTTCCATCATAAACCCCTTTCATTTTCTTCCCTCTCTGCCTGAATCTACCACTCTCGAGTTTATGAAGGATGCTCTGACTCTACCATGGCACCCTACCAGGGGTAGCCGTATTGCTTGGCCCAGATGATGGATCCTGGGATGTAGGAGGCATAGGCCACATCACTTTCATGACCAGTCCAGGTCTCCTCAGGGATATCACAGCGATTATACTGCAAGTCTGCCAAAAGAGAGGAGGAGTGCAGGGGAAGAAAGCCTTATGAGGTGGAAGTCTGGATGAGGGCAGAGAAGAGGTCAAAGGACATCGTTACGTGCAGCAGGTAGGACCAAAAGGACACCTGGGGGACGGGCTGGAGGGCGAGCAAAGGCTCGTGAAGGAAACGCAGCTAGAGCGAGAAGCAGGGGTGTGGCTCATTACGTTCTGCAGAAAGAGACCCCAGACTTCTACCTGAACCCCGCAGGTCTGACCCTGCTTCCATCTGTGTAACATCATGAAGATAAGTTCTCCAACATTGTTTTCTCACCTGTAAAACAGTTGGGCTAGACTAGATCTTCATAAACTTGTTTAAGTAGTTTCAAACATTCTAGAATTCTAAGCTACTGAATCTCTCTCACTAGCTTTTCCTCATATATCCCATACCACCCCAATACCAAAAGTCTAGTCAGACTTTTGCTCAGAACAATTGTTTAGATTTACTCAGAACAATCATTTAGATTCCAGGACCCTCCCTACTCTTCAGAGTGTCTTCCTCTATCCCTTTTTGCCGAATTCATTCCGAAAAGACAGCAAGATGACCACCTCTCCCCAAACACCAACTACAAGGACCCCTGGAGTTATAGCTATACTTTTGTCATATTTAATCTAAAGCATGAAAGCAGGGAAAGAAAGGAACATAAAAACTGAAAAGAAATTTCCATTTTACCTGTGTTCTGGTCACAGGACCAATTATCTGGGAGGACTGAGGGGTCAATGTTCCCATGTAGCCGCCTCCATTTCTCACAGTTTGGGGAGGAACACTGGACCCAGACTAGACATTGACCTGTCACAGCAAAGAAACCTGAAATAAGAGACTCAAAAATGTTCTTCCTTCTTCGATTTAATTAAAATCAATATACTCCCTGCCACCACCACCTCTGCCAGAAACACACAGCCCTAGAGATCAACTTGTTCAAGCCCTGACTTATAAACAGTAAAACCAAAAGCTTGGAGGAGATAATTGACTGCTAAAGATCAGTCTAAATTGGTGGCAAAGCTGAACTTAGAACCCAGGTCTCACATCCCAGTCTTTCTCCTGAACCATGCTATCATCTCTTCTCCCCCAGGGCAGAAAGGAATGCTTCCTGTATTGACATTTCTTTAAAAGGCTGCCTGGCCTCTTTTTGGCTACTGCCTCATTTCCTGGCTGGCATGTCACTACTAAAAAGTTTTCCTGAAGGACTGTGTGTGCTTCAGCAGCATATAGACTAAAACTGGAGCGATACAAAGAAGATTAGCATGGCCCCTGCACAAGGATGACATGAAAATTCGTGAAGCATTCCATTTTTTTTAGAAAAATGGTACTGAAGAATTTATTTGCAGGGCAACAATGGAGAAACAGACATAAAGAATAGATTTATGGACATGGGGAGAAGAGAGGAGAGGGTGAGATGTATGGGAAGAGTAACATGGAAACTTACATTACCATATATAAAATAGATAGCCAATGGGAATTTGCTGTATGGCTCATGAAACTCAAACAGGGGCTCTGTATCAACCTAGAGGGATGGGATGCGGAGGGAGATGGGAGGGAGTTTTAAAAGGGAGGGGATATATGTATACCTATGGATGATTCATGTTGAGGTTTGACAGAAAACAGCAAAACTCTGTAAAGCAATTATCCTTCAATAAAAAAATTAATTAATTAAAACACAAAAAAAGTTCTTCCGAAGGACTGACCAGCATCTCTTTCGCACACAGCATCCAGAGTTCCTATTTGAATTAACCTGTCTTATTTGAATTAACCTGTCGCCAAATCACCAAGTTGAAGCCTTTGGGACCAAGAGCTCTGAGTTCATCCCTCACCAAAGACAGGTTTAAGCCTACTGTTTCTCAGTCAACTATTTACTTCAGGCCCTGCTCAAAGGACAAACATTCTTTTTATCCATTACATTCCAAACTCTCATCCCCACCTTTCTCTACCCCACATCTTCTAGGCTGACCCAAAGCTCCACACAGCCTCTCCTCTCTCCCTCCCAAACTCTTCCACTATATTCTTTGGAAATGAAAATGAAATTAATATTCTTTGGAATTCCAGGCAAGAGCAACTAAAATCCACGTCTTCAACCTGTTTTCTGAACCTCTGCCTCCTTTTTGAAATCTGGTGATGCTGCCCCAACCCGATCCCACCTGACCCATGCAGCCCTCTAAGCAGAGGCTGTCCTTCTCACATCCCCCAGACCAGAAAGTGGGGTCAGTATCACCCTTACCTCCCATTGACACTTGTAGACCATTACTATCCTCCATTCTATAAAAACACTCCCTCCCTTAAGGTCCATGCCATGAGATTACACTGCCCTCTCATCTCCCTTGCAGTGACAATGCTGGTATCTGGTTCAGTCTTTTCCTTCTCTCTGCCTCCTGCCCTCATAGATTACCATATATCCACAAGGGTAATGTACAAGCACCCCAAACCTTCTCCTCCATGCCACCTCAGTAGCCCCTTCACCTCAGGAACCCATGCCCATCCTGCATGCCACCCCCCCTCAGTCATCTGCAGGGACCGCACACTCCCCTGAATCACTTACCTAAACTCTTCTCTGATAAAAATGCCCCATCAGTCCACCTTGCTCCAAGAACCCGTAGCAATTTTCACTTTATCTAGATCTCCAATCCACTGGCCCCACCTTCCTCTCAACTAGTAGCAATCTCTTTTCTTCACTCTGTATAGTTACACACATTTGATTTCCTTAGATTCTCTTGCAGACATCACCAACTCCCTTTCCCTCTGTCCTTCCCCCCACTCAGCTGGCAAACACAATTCTGAATGAACCCACTCTTTTTCTGTGCCTACACTCATTCAACTGAGCTTTGCTAGAGAAAATCACTTACCAGGTACACTATATATTCAGTTAACGACATCAACCAATATGTTTCTCTAGTAAGTTCACTCTCCCACTGTCAGTTTACCTTAAATGCTGAAACATCCCACCAAAATCATTCCTCAGAAAAGTAGATGGCTTACATTTGGGTCCTTTCAAAATATCTCATATTATGTATCACTTTCTCAGTTATTTTGAAGAAGTACTGGTTGGGAATGATGTATTAGTTTGAAATGACAGTTGCCACTGACAGTTTTAGATGTTTACAGAGGTGACCTGGCAAGGCTAGAAAAAAAGAGTGGGAGAAAGGGCCAGGGACCATAAAAGAGAACAGAGATCAAGAAAATAAATGGTGGTTGTAAAAATATAAATATTCATAAGAAAATGAGTGGGGGAAAAAAATCATCCTAATGCTATAAAACTAGATATATATGGTTTAGGATGAAATTTCTATGACAGTTTTAAAGACATACAGTTCTTAAAGTTTCCTTTCCAACAACTTAGAAAGAAGAGAATACGTGTTAGAAAACTGTTTGAAGTTCAGATGTGGCGCTGTGTTAATGAAGGCTGATGTCACAGACACAGGTCAAGAGCATTTCAGTTGACCACTAATTTTTGAAACACTAGCTTCCTTGGGTTCTGTGATCCCTCAATCTCCCTTTTCCCCCATCCCCTCCCATTTTTCTGGTAACTCCAGCCTCAGTCTCCAAATTGGGTTCACCTCATTCTCTGTCCAATCTCTAAACTGGAGTCCCAAAGCCTAACCATGGGTCTTCACTCCCATGCTGCACTTTCTCCTGAGGTCAGCTCACCCATATCCTCCATTTGAAACCCATTTTCATACCTGACAACACAGAGATGTATGCCAGTAGCCTCTGTTCTGAGCTCCCAGCTTCTATAGCCACCTTGCTCTTTGGCATCTGTATTTGGAGGTCTCACAAAAATCTCAAACCCAATGAGTCCAAACCCAAATTCTTGATCTTATCCTACAGAACTGCTTTTTACCCACTCCTTTAACACAACTGCTCGAACCCTCTTCTCTCTCTCACTTTCCAATATTCAATTCATCACCAAGTTCTGACAACCTTACCTCCAAAACATATCTTAAAACCATTTGCTTTTCGTCTCCTTCATCATCCTAATCCAAGCCACCAAAATATTTAATCTGAGCACTAACTTCTTAACTGGTCTACTCTTGACTTCTCATACTCCACCCTCCAATTAATTACCAAAAGGATCTGTTTAAAACATCAGTTTGAGGATGTCACTTCCCTGGTTAAAACCCACCAGGGGCTTCCCACTATACTTAAGATGAAATTCTCACTTTGTAACATGGTCTTTGAGCTAGCCACTGCTAACTCCTTGTGAAGGAGAAAACAGACAGAACAGGCTCCATCTTGAAACAGGACTCCACCTTGGGCCGGACTGTGGACTTTGAGCTCTGTGCCCAGTATCTATGGAAACGACAAACCAACTGGAAAACCAGGCCCCTGGAAGGAAGAGCCCCAGGGCTCATACCTAGACTCTCCCTCCCTAAAAGAATACCCTAATTGTCTGTGGAACCGAATAGAATCAAACATTCTATTATGTTTGCTGGGGTATGACCAAAGGCCTGTTGATAACTGTCCACTGTTAACTAGGCCTCAGGCATATGAATCAGGGTTAACTTTGTATCTTTCTTTTCCTTTGTTCAGACTAGTTTCAGGGGATTTGGGGAGGTGGGTTTGGGCACATATACTTAGGGTATATAAGGTTTTCACAAAAACTGGTTGGGGTCCTTGGCTAAGGGGAGACTCTGCCTTGGACTCACTGGTGTAACAAACTGCACTCCACTATCTGCACTGGCCTTCTGAGTGAGTTTGTTTCCCGGAACACGTGGCTATAACAGTCACATTTATCTAGAGCCACATTGCAGCCTTGCTTCCCTTGCTCCCTGAATCCCAGTTATACCAGGTTTCTTCTGGCATCCAGAGTAAGCCAAACTTCACCTTATCTAAAACTTTCTCTTACACACTTTAGTTGGCTAACTTCTACTCTTGCTACAGGTTTCAGCTTAAATGTTATTTCCTTCCAAATGCATTCTCTGACTGACCCTATCTTAATGAGATCTCCACCGTTTCCTCTCAGGACATTGTTTTCCTTCCCTTCACAGAACTTAAAGCAAATTTTATTTACTGGATACTTCCTTTCTGCTTCCTACCCCAGGAGCACCCATCTCTCCTCAGCAACTGTAAAAAAAACAGGAAGGGTGGTTCACTGATAGTAAGAGGCCTACACATTCGCTACAATCACAATTCAACCCACAAGCACTGCCAAAAAACAAACTTCCTCCAACAACTACGGATTACATGACTGAATAACTGAATGAATGAAATAGCTCTCTTTCTTCCTCAGCGCTATATCCTCTCAACAAGTAGCTGTATGAGATAAACTATAGTCTTTGCAGAATTTCCTCTAACATCCTAACGTGTTACCCTTCTCCTCCACCTCCAATTTTCAAGTTCAAGTAGGTTTGTCAAACCATGGCTGAACTTACCAAAACCACTTCCTTCTCCTTTTTGTTGGTCCCTGTCCTGGGAATGATCCTGAATGGTTTCCTTCTGTTGGTCATCCTGTCTGTGCTCATGTCCACTTTGGTCTGTCTCCATTTTCTCATCTTCTGGGAAGATAAAAGAAAAACATTGTAGGGTTAGGAGATGAAGAGAATCTTTGTAGATAGTAAAAGAAGGAAGAAGAATCGCAGGTCATTAGTTTTAAGTCTTGGGCTGAAAATTCTCAGTACACCCACTGTCCCATTCCCTAATTTCATGGAATAAGTACTTGAGCCAGATGTCAAAGTATATCAGATTATACTTACGAGCTTCCTTCTTTCTTTTGCTTAAGGAGAATTTATTGACTTTCTTCTCAGAGGATGCAGAATCTGGCTGGCCTGGCTTAGATATCTTTATCTCAGGGATTATTCCATCTTCCTGAGAGGCTGAAATCTCTAGAATAGGAGGTACCACTACTCTGTCTCTGCAAATAAGATTTTTAATTAAAAGACAGAAAAGGGCAATTTGTAGTACCCCTCTTTTGAAAAAACCCAAGGGTAAAAGGAGGACAGAAGACTTGCAAGTTCTCCATGGCCTCCTGGGATCATTTTATCCATTTACTGGCCTATTTTTCCCAATTCAAGTATCTTTCCTGAGATGAGAGAAATCTACCAAGATATGAAAAACATCTAGATAGAAAGAGAGATAGATGGATAATCATTTATCAGTATTAAGTCTACCTTGTGATCAACTCGCCACACTGGGATAAACTTACCCATCAGCATTATTATTATCAGAAGTATTAGAAGAAGCAATTCCTGGTTCCTTGTCTAATTGGGTACATCTTGTAGGCTGGGTACAGGAAGTCTCTGAAAAATCAAGGCTAGATTCCGTCCTCCCAAAACAAAATACTATAAGCAGAGAAGCAACTAAAGAAAAGAACTACTCCATTATTTCCAAACTGTAACCTCTCATTAACATATCTCCCATCAGTTGCCTGGAAGAACCTACCTTTAGACTTTTGCGATACCATAGAACTTGCAAGTTTTTTAATTCTCAGGAAAAACCACAAATGTGTATCTTTCTGAAAGCTTTTCCAGATGGATTTGCCTATTCTAGGATAGTCAGGTAATGTTAATTTTGTGTACATAACAGAAATTTTAGGTATCGTCTTTTATATCATTTGTCCCTCAAGCTTTCTCTAAAAGTGGAAGTATACCTAAGAAAAGCTGAAAATGTCAAACCACTGCCCTTCGCCTCAAGACCTTATGGAGGAAGGCTTCAGGGCCTATGCCATAGAGCTTCTTATTCTAAAAATCAAATTCCTGAGCATATGTTAAAACAGTATTGGAAATAGAAATATACAAGAAACAGAAACTAAGGTCTTCAAATCTGGGAAAAATAATTTATCTTTTCTATGAAAATTGTAAACATATAAAAATAAATTTAAATTACATTAAAAAATCTAGATGAGCCTATATTTATATTCTGAAGTCAATGTAATCTACTTTTCTAAAAGTCTATACCTTCTGTCTAAGATGGCTTAGCTATAGTCCTGTTGATAGAAGATGAATATTTAAAACTATTTTGAAGTCTCATCTAATATTTCCTTATGTAGAAAGATGGAGAGAAGGAGAGGAGCGATTAACTTACTCCACCCTTCAGATAATTTCTTTGCCTAACTGAAATTCTCTCACTAAAAGCCATACCCAAGCACTCCTGGAAGGACTTCCGTAGCACAGTCTGGACAATCTCCTCAAATTCTGCACTGGTAAGAGTTGATTTTTTCTGCAGAGAGACAGGTAGGGGAGAAAAACTGCTCGTCTTTCCCCATTCCTCCTCTCTAGGAAGGAGGAAGCCTCCTTTGGATGAGGCAGCAAGTTCACAAAACTGAGAGCATGAATTCAACCTAAAGATTCAACTACAGATCGCCTGGGAGTAAGAAGTCAAAGAAAAGGAAAACATTGATAGTCTCTACTTCTACTCTTACCTACATCCAACCTCAGCCCCAACCTGCCCAGTATTCCCTGCTAAATGCTTTCATTAAAATATTTTTTACCTCTTTGAGAAGAAAATACACACCCCCACACAAGAAAAAAAAAACTGAAACTACAGGATGAATCTCCCCTGTGGCATTTACTACATTCAAATTTATGTTATAAATATTTAAATATCTTCTGAAATGGAAAGATCCTATTTGCCCAGGCTGGATGATGAGGAGAAACTATCCCACTACAGCCATCCTTTTGATTTTTACCTTTTCTTTCTTTGCTTTCTTGCTGTCTTGAGCCTTTCCTTTTATCTCCTGGCCACTGACTGGACCATTCTCTGTGGGTGTTTTCTCCTTCTTCTTCTCTAACCCGGCCTTTAGCAGGCTTGGCCTGACCTCTGCCTGTGGGGAACTGATCTCCGGGATCTCCTCCTTTGATGAGTTAAGGTTATAGGGCATCGGGCTATGCAATTTTTGTGCAGGTGGGGCAAAGGTATTTTTTTGTCCCTTCCCACATTCTGAAAGAAATTTTGTCAGCAAATGTAATTTGTGAAACATGGAATCTAACACAGAAATTGCCAAACATTGCCCACTGACTCACAATATCAGAATTATCTGGAGAGACCTTTTAACAAATTCAAATTCCTAGACCTCTCCTTACCAAACTTCCCCAGGCCCCAACCTTCTCAACCCTGCCCTAAGATCCTGACAAAGTAGTCTGAAGTGAGACCCAAGAATCTGTAATTTTATAAGGCTATCCAGCTAACTCAGATGCACTTCAGGTTTAGGAATACTGAGTAATTCAAAAGCAATAAAAACAAGTATGCGGAAAACTAAAATATTCAAACATGAAATTTTTAAAATTTGCTTTTTTTTTAAACTTTGTACAAAGTGTTATGGGAAATTAGAGGAAAATTTTAAAAAACTAGTCAAAATCTACAAAGGATGCAATGAAAATTGTACTGATCCTCCCAGGCATAAGAAATCTATCTTTCTTCGGAGCTTCCATAATACTTTGTATCTATGCTGTGGCATTTACCACATTCAAAGTTATTTATAAATATTTAAATGGCTCTTCTCTCCCTACAATCTCATACATTTCTAGAGTAAGACTGTTCAAAGTCAAATATATTTCACTCAAAGTGGCTAGAAAAGCAGTAACTCTAACAAAGTGAACATGAAATACATATGAACTGAGCTTCCCTTTGGTGGGAAAGGTGTCCAGATGACCTAAGACTGAGAAAGAAGAGAATGACTCTTGACTCACTTTCTTTACTCTCCAAGGTTGGCATCATTCAGCTCAGAAGCTACACTTTCTTTATGCCTCTGCTGAAAAAGAAATGAACTGTTATGCTCTGATTGAACAAAATTTATTTTATTGAAGCATAGTTGATTTATAATGTTAATGTCTGCTACACAGCAAAGGGATTCAGTTAAATATATGTGTGTGTGTGTATACACACCCACACAGTACTGATCGAACATGATTTTAAGCTTTCTCCTCTTCTTGCCTTCTTGGGCTCGGGCTCTCTTTGCCTGGGATGCCTAACCTACATTTTCTGCCTTACTGACTACAATTGTACTCCCGGGCAGTGCCGATTACATGCTGGAGGGTAATGAAAGTTGTTCTAAAGATTAGCAACAATCCTTAGTGTTTTAAGTGTTTAGAACTATGTCCAACATGAGGTAGGCACTTATAAGTAGGTGGAAATGACAGTGGTAGTGATTTGTTTAAAAAAAATTCAACTGAGTAAATTTTGAGGATCTTATTGGCTTTATTCAACAACTCATGAATTGGGCAGCATTGAATCTACCAGATGGATAGAAGCTCCAAGGAGCTATACAGCATTAAAACACTTTTACAGGCAGAAGAGATAAGGAACACAGATGTAATACTAGGCAAAAAAGGAAAGAAAGAAAAAGAAAAAAGCAAATTGATTAAACAAGGTTACTTTCCTTTAAGGAATTACTGGGGTCTATCAGGCAGATTACCCAACTAGTGCTGATCAGGCAATTCCTGACTGACTGGTTTAAGATTCCATTTCTGAGAGAGCCAAACTGTAATTAAGTTGTCTTGGTTTAGTGACAAGGGGCTTAGCATAAGCAACCCCATTTGGTGCCTTTTATTAAAACAAGATGTGTTTTTAACAGCCAGAAGTAAAAATAGTAGTAGAGTAGCAGCAGTTGGGTGTAGACAGTCCTGGAGTTAAACAGTGAGATTTTTCTTCAGAGCAATAACCTCTCACAAGGTTCTTCTAAATACTCAAAACAAACACACTGTAGATTCACTTACCTATTTCAGACATCCCTATGCATAGAGAACTCCCCTTTTAACATCACTATAATGTATTATTTTCCTTTTACTTAGATCTTCTAGTCCAATAAATTTCCCAATGTGCTAGATTCTTGTAAAATAAGAATTATTTTATTCATGGCTCAGAAATATTTAGTAACCAGCAGATATTTTTGAACTGTGGTGTTGGAGAAGACTCTTGAGAGTCCCTTGGACAGCAAGGAGATCAAACCAGTCAACCCTAAAGGAAATCCACCCTGAATATTCATTGGAAAGACTGACACTGAAGCTCCAATACTTGGGCCACTTGATGTGAAGAGCCAACTCACTAGAAAAGACTCTGATGCTGGGAAAGTTGAAGGCAAAAGGAGAAGAGGTGGCAGAGGATGAGATATTTGGATAGCATTACCGACTCAATGGACATGAATTTGAGCAAACTCCAAGAGATAGTGGAGGACAGGGAGGCCTGGCATGCTGCAGTCCATGAGGTCACAAAAAGTCAAACACAACTTAGTGACTGAACACAGAGGTCTCCAGAGAAGCTAGTAATAAGAATCTAGCATATTCATTCTATATCCATAGTTTATCTGTAGTTATCTACTCAGATGTGTTCTAAACAACATCCGTACGTTTCATTACTTCTACCAAAATTGTGACTAATAATAAATACACTTACTGGGCACTGACTATAATTTTTGAATATGTCATCTCATTTAATTCTCCCAATAAATCTATGAGATTGATGCCATTTTACACTTGGGGAAATTGACACTTAGAGGGAGTTAGAGATATTAAGTAATTGATAAATGGTAAAATCAGGATTAGAATCTGTCTGATTTATGTTTGTGTCATGAACTGTGCTACAGTACATCCCAGTAGTCTAGTTCAGTAGTTCAGTACTTCACACCCATTTTAACATCACAGCACACATGTAAAGCATCCACTAAAAGTAAACACTGAAACACACAGAAAATATTTCTAGGTATTCTAGGGTAAAAAGACCAGGCTGCTCACAGCCATAGACAACTGAGGGATGGGAGAGGGAGGCCTCCAGCCACACCAAAGGCTGAAGAGGTTAATATCTCTAGCTGTATGTCATTTGTGACCCAGCACAGTGCCAAGACTCATTTTATGATGTTCCAAGAACTTATACATTTTCCAGTTTTCACTTTCTACTACTGATATTATTTCTACCCAGCTGTGGTCTGCCAAAACCTCAGAGTTAATACATGGTAGAGTAAAATGAATCCAGGTCTTTGGCTTCTAAATTCTAATAACATGTCTATTCTTCTCAGTGATCTGATTTCTGGCTGTTGGTTTTGAGTACTTTGAAGGCCTTGGACCTGAAACTCAATCCTTTAACTCTGCTATCTCCCACTATAAAGAGATCCAAGAGGTTTTCCAAGTGGCACAGTGGTAAAGAATCTGCCTGCCAATGCAGGAGAAATCAGTTTAATCCCTTATCTGGGCAGATCCCACATGCCATGGAGCCATTAAGCCCATGTGCCAGGACTATTGCGCCCGTGCTCCAGAGGGGGGGACACGACTGCGGAGCCCATGCGCTGCAACTACTGAAGCCCCCACACCTCGAGCCTGTGCTCTGCAACAGGAAAAGGCGCTGCAGTGAGAAGCCACAACTAGAGAGTAGCCCCTGCTCATTACAACTAGAGAGAAGTCTGACCAACAACAAAGACAAAGAAACAAAGAAAATGAATGAGTGATGATAAAAAAGAGAGAGATCCAAAAGTTGCATAAAATGGATCTTTGGATTTGTATATTTTTCTCTCTAAAGGGGCTGAAAATTTTATGACCCTCAAATGGTCAACTTTAAGTTGACTTAGTTGCTCAGGGCGTAGAATTCCACCCTCCAGATTCCAAGATGAATTCAAAAGTTACTGGGGACTTGACTTAGTGTGGCCACAGCATGGCTGAATATAAAGTCTTTAAAAATTTTTTTGGTATTTTTCTGCTCCTTTTCTTAATTTCATAAGTGCAAATAATTGATACGTGCTGGTTTGCAGTAATTCTTTTTCGTTTATACTCGTCTAGTGTGTGTGAGTCGTTCAGTTGTGTCTGGCTCTTTGTGACCCCATGGACCATAGCCCGTCAGGCTTCTCTGTCTATGAAATTCTCCTAGCAAGAATCCTGGGGTGGGTTGCCATTCCCTTCTCCAGAGGATCTTCTCAACCCAGGGATCGAACCTGGGTCTCCCACACTGCAGGCAGATTCTTTACCATTTGAGCCACCAGGAAAGCTCAATTTAAGGGGCACATTTTATCACAGTTTCCATCTTAACTTTTCACCACCAACTCCCAAACTTATTTGACAGTGAAAGAAAAAGCAAGTAGGAAATTGGGGGAGAATCACTATAGCAAACTGGTCTCCTTCTTCATGATAGTCCTAAATAGAAGCTACAAATTGTATAAAATTAGGCCATAAAGGGAATAATAATAATAAATGACAAACATATCTTCTCCCAGACTCTAAAATTCCAAAAATGACTATGAGAAGTCCCTATGAAGATAATCAGAATTACAAAACTATACCGAACGAGGACTGCAAAATGAAATTAGTGTACTTGAGATGACAAAATTTGATTTTTTAAAAATGTTCATCTATACAATATGTTTGAGTGTCCATTAACTATCTTTGGAAGAACACACAAGAAACTGACAAAAAAGTCTCAGTGGAGTGGTAACAGGTAGCTGAGGGTGGAAACAAGCTCTCTACTGTAGCCTCTTGTGTAACTCTAGTATTTTATACATAGACTGTCATTTCAAAGTGATTTTTTAATTCTATTTTTAAAATAAAATTTAAAAAAGAGTATTTTGATCAACCTAAAGAGGCAAAATTTTTCCAAGTTAGCTTTAAATCATTATCTAAACCTATACTGACCTCTCTAGGCCAAAGTGTGTTACTGAAGCCCCAACCAACTAGATAAAATTGTGATCACTGCTGAGTTAATAAGATGTAGTAAATATATAAACTTTCCTTATGGCTCAAACAGTAAAGAATTTGCCTGCAGTGCAGGAGACAAAGGAGATGTGGGTTTGATCCTTGGATCAGGAAGATTCCCTGGAGAAGAAAATGGCAACCCACTCCAGTGTTCTTGCCCAGATAATTCCATAGACGGAGAAGCCTGCCAGGCTACAGTCCATAGGGTCCCAAAGAATCAGACATGACTGAACACGCATGCAGAGTGAGGGTGTGATGAAAAACATTACTTTTAAAGAAAATCTCTATCCTGATCAATAGAGAAGGGAAAGTTTGGAAGTCACTGTCTGATAAGTCTCTGCTCCTCTGTTTCAGATGAAGTATTTTCTTCCACAATAATGAATACTGAAATCCACCTCAGAGACAGTAAGACAATTTTAAAGATAGTTAATAAATATAAAATACCACCAACTTTTATCTGGCCAGCTACGAAATGACTGGGGGCTCTAAACCCAGGAATAACATTTGAGATTTTAGTTTCTCTTTTCTTACCTTAGATGAAAAATATTGGGAAAAAATCCAATAAAGCTTTAAATGTTAAAGTAAAAGAAATTCCATAACCAGATCCTAACTCCTCAACTAACATAAGAAAGAAAGGTGAATAAGGAGGAGGAAATAACTTAGAAGTAATAAAGGGACCCAAGGGAAGGTGAATGAGGTGTTCCAAAAAATAGTTTTCTTTCATTTAGAACACCAAAAATCATCACACTGATTAGAAAATGAAATCACCTAGCTCACCAGATCTCCAACTATTTATCTGTGTTAGGTTTTCTCATATTCTTCAACCAAAACAAGATATCACAACACATTGAATTCAGAAACAGATGAAAATCCAGCTGTTTTCTATTAGGCCAGACATGCGAGAGATGTGCAGAAATGTAAAATAACACCATTCTTCATACTAAATTTTCTTTCACTTAGGAAAATATATTTTCATTTAAATGTTATCTACATTAACATTATGTAAATGGTTTATTATCATCATTTTAAAGTTAGTCAATAGACTAATTTTTCTCAGTTTAATTTCTAATACTTAAGTATCATTGCACAGGTACAGAGATATAAACCAATCTTTGGAGTCCTTCAAAATTTTTAAGAGTATAAAAGGATTCTCAGAGGACTTCCCTAGAGGTTCAGTGGTTAAGAATCTGCCTGCCAGTGCAGTGGACACAGGATTGATCCCTGGTCTGGGAAGATCCCACATACTGTGGGACAACTAAGCCCATACACCAAAGCTGCTGAGCACATGCTCTAGAGCCCAAGAGCCACAACTGCTGAAGCCCAGGTACCCCAGAGCCCATGTTCTGCAACACACGAAGCCACCACAAAGAGAAGCACGTGCATCACAACTGGGGAGTAGCTCCTGCTGCCCCAACTAGAGAAAGCCCACATGCAGAAACAAAGACCCCATGCAGCCAAACAACAACCGCCGAAAAAAACCTTTAAAACATAACTTAAAAATAAATTTTAAAAAAGGATTCCAGGGCTTTCCTGGTGGCTCAGTGGTAAAGAATCTGCCTGCCAATGCAGGAGACTAAGATTCAATCCTTGATCCTGGAAGATCCCAAATGCGGAAGAGCAACTAAGCATTTGCACCACAACTAGCGAGCCTCTGCTCCACAACAAGAGAAGCCCTCTCAGTGAGAAGCCCACACACCACAACTAGAGAGTAGCCTCTGCTCACCACTGCCAGAGAAAAGCCTGTGCAGCAATGAAGATCCAGAACAGACAAAAATAAATAAGTAAATTTAATTTAAAAATAAAGGGATTCCGAGACCAAAATGTTTGAGAACTGACTTAGCTAAATAACTTAATTCAGTCTTGTCAATATTTTTCAAAAAGCCTTAATCCTCCTCCTCCCACTCGGAATGTGTTCACAAATTTCTCCCAAGTATCCAATTACTCCCTCTTTATATTGTCCCTGGAATCCTTGGTCTAAGAGGACAAAAATAAACCCTTTAGAATTGCCCTCTAACACAGACTCTGTGAGCCTCAAAAAATTGTATTTAAAAACTATATTTTGAGCAGAGAAAAAAAAAGATCAAGTTTCTATTCTTACTGAGCTGACATTCTAGTGGGAGTAGTTAGACAATGATCAAAACATGTAAATATATATATTGCAAATTTAAAAAAGATTATATATTCAGAGGAAGCACTTTTCTCAGGGTTACTTGAGATGCTGCCTCCCAGGCTTCAGTGCCTCAGTATGTCCACCAAATAAAATATAACTCTCAAAAAAAAAATAAATAACAAGATAAAGACTATATTTAACTCTCCTTTAAGCTGGAGTTGGATTTCTTTTTGTCTTAATGTCTGATGGTATGTAGATTCCTGCTTATTTTCATGCCTCCATCAGTAAGTTTGTTCTTTCTTCGTTCCTTCTCTCATGTGAGTGCAGCAAGCATGATTCTAAACTTTTAACAAGACAAAAGGAAAAAACTGATCCCAGCTACCCTTATTACCTATACTAGGCTGCCTAACAAGACATTTGGGGCTTCCCTGATGGCTCAGTGGTAAAGAACCCACCTGCCAATGCAGGTGAGGTGAGTTGATTCCTGGGTCGGGAAGATCCCCTGGAAATGGAAATGGCAACCCACTATCCTTTGGGTATCCTTCCAGATCCTTGCGGGGGAACTCCCACGGGCAGAGAAGCCTGGCAGACTACAGTTCATGGGGTTGCAAAAAAGTCTGACACAACTTAGCAGTGAAACAAGACATTTACTGTCATAACTACTTGAAGTAAAACCTTTTATGGAATCTCATAAATTAATGGTGACTAAAGCTTAAAGTTCAGGGAGTGCAAGGAAGCAGAGAGACACGGCCAATTATCACCAAGACAGACTCTTTAGTACCCTGATCTTGGTTCAGACCCTTTCTATCTAACCGCTGAAAAGCTTCCACACGTGCCTGGAATAATGCCAACCTCAAACAAGCCATTTTGTGTTGCTTTCCAAGGGGCCATGCCCATGAACTCCCAGACCACTGCACCACTTCCCCTCAAAGAGTGCCAAGATTTGGAACAATAAAAGACCTAATCTCACTTTTCTCACTTTTAAAACCAGAGGGAAGAACTTGGAGACACCCACATTTTTTCTCTTTCCTTACCAATTCTCTCTTAAAAGCACAGCAATTCAGACCGGAGGTACCACAGGGCAAAAAGCCCATGACTCCTCTCTAAGGGTAAAACAGCGGCTCTCTAACCTCTCCTCTCCATCAACAAACCCCCCATGAGACAATTTCCCCTCAGCTCCCCCTCCCCATTCCCACCCCCAACCCACGGAGCACCAGGATCCTCATTCTCGCTCAGCTCGACATTGCCCACCATAATACTGAGGTAGTTTTGGTTTTCTCTTAGGAGCAAGTCTGCGGTTAGACACTCTGATGAGAGGGCTAAGACATCACCCTGAGGAGAAAACTTTTCCTCGGGCGACAGGTGCCAAGACTGGCCAAGCCTAGAACCTTCAGGTGCAAGCGGAAAAACACCAACTACCTTCTGGTGCGTAGAGGACCTAAGGGTGAGGAGCAGACATTGCAGCAATTCTACCAGCCGCGCGAACCTCCAACCAGCTTTCCCGCCACCAAGGAAAGGCGCGAGGCCACTCACAAGCTCCACCTCCTCCGGCGGCGTGCTCGAAGGGCTAATGCGCATGCGCAGTTGGAGGCCGTTTCTGCGTTTGCGCAGCAGTTATTGCCGCCATCTTCCAACCGAATACCCCGTAAAACTACAAATCCCATAATCCCCGTTGGCCTCGCTTTTTTTTTTTTAGGTGGCAGCCGTAGCGCCTGATGTTTAAAGATGCACATCTTCCTTTTACTGACTTCTCTCTCTGCCCCAGACTGCCTTTTCCATCCTCTTTTCGTGCCCTCATTCGCATTCTTCTTAGTATCCTTCATCCCCTTATTTTGATATTTTATTTGAGATCTATCCTTAACCCCATTCTCGCCTCTTCCTTTTCTCAGCCACAGGACCCGCACCCCAAGCGCTGTTGGCAAGGAGATCAAGCCACCAAACACCCAGTGGGAAGGCCGTCCAGTAGCTTCCTCCCCATAGGCTAAGGCAGGGAGCCCCCAAAGCGGACCGAAATCTCTTCCCCGCCCACATTCGTTTTTATATAAGGCGGCCCGGAGCCGCAGCGTGTGCTCGGGAAAGCCTGCGTGCGGAGTGGGGGGTGGGGGGGGCGGCGGTGCTGGGTGTACTGCTGCTATTGGCAGCTGTAGTGGGCGTCGGATAGCTGTCCGCGGGCTGGGGAGGGGCTCGTGCGCAAGCGTCGGGTGGTGGGCGGAGGCGTTGGTGTTCGGGAGGTGGGTGTGGAGGCGGAGAGGAGGGCGTGGTGTCCCCAGGTGATCGCGATTGGGGGTACAGCAGAGGAGAGAGAGAACGACGCGGCCGTTTAGGGGGAAGAGGGAGTTAGACAACATCGTCTGTTTTAGTGCTTGTTTTTTCTTTTTCCAGTTCAGCAGAGACTATTTTCCAGGGGGGGGATGAGTTAAAATGATGTATCGTGTTATACTGAGAACAGTTCGTAGGAAGACGGTCAGTATGCTCCGCTCCTTCCCCTCCTCTCCTTTTTAGGTGCACCCCTCCGCTCCCTCGGAAGCCTTTCTAAATAGGTGGTCATCGGGGGGAAACCGGGTCATGAATAATTCATAAGAACAGCCCCGCCCCTTAGCCACGCCCCTCCGAATCGTGCTGACGCACGTTGCGTGTTCCCAACCGAGGAAGTAACGTAACAGTCCCCGCCCCTAGCGCGGAGGGCGGGGCGTCATCTCCAGCACGTGCTGCATCTACCCGCGCAAGCCCAAAAGGGTGTGCGCAGGCGCTGCTCGCTAGGGGGAGGCAGGAGGCGGGGTGGGGAGGTTGCTGGGTTTAGAGCCGGGCGGAGACCGCTGAGACTCATTCCTCAGGAACAAGGGTCGGGTGTCAAGGAGACCTTTTCACACCAGCTCCCCGTCCCCCGCCTACGGTGGGTGGGATCGCGCGGCAGAGACAAAAGGATATCAGTAGGGACGGACATAGCTGCGAAGGGAAGTAGGGTGTCAGTTTGGGGTGGTGGGCTTCTGGGGGTGGGGGGCGGGCTGAGAAGGGCTATATTTAAACTCCCGGAGCCGTTAAGTTGGTTCGTACTTCGATGCGCGCGCAACCAGGGTGGTGGCGGAGTGCGCCTGCGTGATTCCAGGGAGCGAGGAACGCGCCCCAGCCGTGCGCGCTCGCGCCGGAGCGGTAGTGGTAGAGGAGAAAGGGGTCGGCGCACGCGCGGTTGAGTCCTCGAGTTGTTCGGGTCTCGCGGGCATCTTGTTTTGGTCTCGCGGGCGAGTGGGGCGAGCTTTCCGGGGAGGCGCTTGGGCGCGAGACCAGGGGAGACGAGCAGCACTGCGCGCGCACTCGGGGAAGGAGGGGGGG